CAGTTACTTGATTTTCATTAGCCAACTCTGAGAACTACAAGCCTGGGACAAATACTGCACTAAAGAGCTAGAAAACAAGTGTTGAATAGTATTTCAATTTGAGGTATCTTGAAGCGGGTGATGGCCAGCACTGATGAAAATCCCACTAATACTTACACACCAGTTCACATATATGCCAAAAAAGCTGCATTATGTCTTTTAGCTAACTGAGCTGTTCATGTCATAGCTGTTTAATGATCAAATGCTCACCTCCAGCTGTAGCCATGCTGATACAACCCTTGATCTGCAGGATTCTGCTGTTGTGCTTTCAAAAGATGTTTCAAGATATGAACAATCCTGACTGTTGTCAAGGCAGATGTAAAGATTATGTGGCTATGGGGCTGTAAGTGAAGGAGGGGAGACAGAGGGAGGACATAGTGCAAATACTTTGAGCAATTATGTCTCGGAAAGCAAATGATAGCTGTGAATATCGTGGTGCAGTGTTCTGTAGGGCCTGCAAAAATGCCTTGGTAGCATGATCTGAGTTAAAAATGGAAGTGGTGATATGCTGAAGATTGAATAGTAAGGAGGATTTTTAATGTGATTTGTGCTGACTGTTGCAGAGTGTGGAACTTGCTTTCCTATTAGTCAACCATACAACTCAAATGATCTGTGTCCAGCTCTCGTATCTGAGTGGGGTTGGTTTTTTGTTTAATATGTGGGGTTTTCTTAAGCCATAGTCTGATTTATAATATTCAAAACTTTTCACCTGGAAAATCCATAGTAGCTTAAAACCCAGGGCAGGTTTTTTTAATCCTATTCCTCAACAGTATTAAGCAGATAATGATGTTTAATCTGTCTTCTGCACCAGTGATCTATTTGAAAGTATAACAACTGTGTTTTATTTGGGATGTGGCATTGTTGTTTGCTTTGGTTTTGGTGGGAGGTTGTGCTCTATTCTTCAGCTGTGGCAGTCATTCCATAGATGTCACTTACTGTGAGTGATAATTGTCATTCATAATTTGTTTTAGGTTGCAGGTTTAAGAATGTTAGAAGAAATCTTCAGAAAGATATAGGTGAGTCTTCTGGCTGGTATAAGTGTGTCTCACTTCTGTGTAATGGGCAAGAACAACATGCAGGTAAACTGAAATCAAGTTATTTAGGGTCTAGAGGTTTACCTTGTCTGAAGCTGGAGACTGCTGGATTTGCTTTTTATCTTATCTCGACATAAGGGTTCAGATGCCAGGTATCTGAAACATGGTTTGACTTTGAGAGTTGGTGTTTTATCTGCACTGTTATAATGGGTACTGTAGCTGTTAGTCTGACCTGCTGTTACAAAGTCTCGCTGGGGCTATGGCTGACAGCGATTTGTCAGTTTTGGTAACACTTGCTTGGAGATGCAGCAACTGCTCTAGCACAGTCACTGCTATGAGTACTTGATGCCGCTTTCAGGTGTGTGGTGCCCCTTCCTCTGTGGCTTCTCTACCAAATATTGAGTAAGTAGTCAGGATATTTCCAAACTGGAGCTATACAGGCACCTGCGTATCCTTCACAGCAACTGTGAGCTCTGCTAAGTCACGTGCAGGAGAAGGCATCTTCAAAGCAGCTCAGACCAAGAAGAATTACAAACTTGTAATCGCCTTATCCCAGAGAATAGTGAGATTGGGATATAAAAGATGAAATCATGTAAAGATTTGTGCTTAGTGTTCATCTGTAAACACTAGCAGAGCAGAGACTGATAGTAAAACCACAGTGCTGGGACATAGTCACAGAAAATTCCTCTTGTGGATTACCTGAAAGCAAGTGTGGAAGAGACTCAGTAGAAGTAAATGCTGCTCAAACCAAAATTGCTACCTCCTATCATTGTAACCTCAAAGATTAGACAAGACAATCAGTACCAAGTAGCTTATCTGTTTATCCTTAAGCTTCATAGGCTTTTGTTTATTTGTAATTGTCTTAATCTGTTGACAGAAGAACTAAAGAGCTGTGGGACGCAGGATATATTTGTGCTTTGTACCAGACGAGAGCTTTCCAGGTACCGAGTACCAAACCTTATAGACACCTACCAGCAGCATGGGATTTGTGTGCACCACTACCCTATTAGTGGTGGGGATGTTCCTGACATTGGCAACTGCTGTAAAATTCTGGAAGATCTTAGAAGCTGCTTGGAAAATAACCGGAAAACAATCGTACAGTAGGTTCTGGCTGCCTCCCTTTCACCCCACATTCCTGTATAACTTACCAACTTCTCTCCAGATGCATGACCAGCTGAAAATGAACCCTGTCAAATGGCAGTGGCATTCTTTAGGGTTAGTTCAAGCTGTGAAAAGCTGCTTATTTCTTCTCATGCATCTTTTTGGAGGGAAGTTCTCCTTTCTAAGATCTGAATCTCCCATTTCCCCTTGCTCAGTCCAGCAAGTGCTTCAAAGCATGTGCTGAATGGCACCATATGTCTCCTTGCTGCTAGCCTCGTTGGATATTGGGTATATAATAAGAGTTGTCAGCTGCTGTCAGAGGATAACACACCACTGGGCTGTCTATCAATGACTCGATGGGTTCCAGCAGTGCAAAATTCACTCTTAAATTGCATGAAACTGGTTTGAAGTTATTTGTAGCTGAACTGAGAGTAGAGGGGAAGAGCTTTCCATGTTTCCTGAACGATCCTGCTGACAGCTCCATGCACAGACATACACTGAGTCTCCAG